TTTAGTTCTAGGTCTAGTCTGTCCATTTCCGAGGTTTAGTTGTTTCGCTGTAAGCGTCCACGAGGAGTTGAAGCGCGGTGTTGGCGATGGGCGGTCATCAAATATGGTGCACCTAAAACCTCGGTGTCTTCGACGTGGCGGCCGTCTATACATGTTTAATGCAGTGCAAAAGTAAACCAAATGCAACATCAATCTGAAAAGTGTGGGGGGGAGCAGTTAACATTGGTGCCCCCCCCCCAACCTTGAACAGTGGGGGGGGGGGGCATGGCCCCCTGGCCCCTCTGTTTCCACGCCCATGAATGTTTCAGTTGTGTTCTCCGAACCAAACTATGTTTTCCAATAGGATTTCACAACGCTTATCTTTTGAAACCCAAAACTTATTTCTTGTGCCATTCAGTCTTCTCTGAAGGTGAGATGGGACCTCGAAACGCAAGATTGTAAAGAGCGGGGAATATATAAGGGATTTAGTGCAAGCCATTTTTAATTCAAACGATCATGCCAAGTCAAAAGCCCGGAAACTAGAACGATGCATCAAAAATCTCGTAAATGCATATGTCTACAGGTATATATGTTATATAAATAGGGCATCAAAAGTGACAAGATATATGCACATCTGTACACACACACACACTCACAAGCACACACACACACATATATATATATATATATATATATATATATATATATATATATATGTGTGTGTGTAGATAACAGCTGTGTGTATGTAGACGCATTCTGTATTGGTATTTATATGAGCTGGGTTACGCCAAAATTGGTCTTTTCCCAGTTTGATGTGATCACCATATTTGGGTACTTCGATAAAAAGTTACCACAATCAGGTAACACAGGCCAGCATAAGGGCGTTGACGACAATTGGCTGGTGATCACTGATAGGGGTTCTGAGCACTTCTGCTCCATACATCGAGACTTAGAAGTTCGTTATGATGTGATCCAGTGCTGTGGACCCGGCGGGAGAACAGTTGGCTGATCGATCATCTGGGTCAGGCCTAGCTCAGGCAGGGCTGTATTGCAGCACTAACGCGGCAGCGGACTCCGACAGCTGACAGCAGACCAACAGCAAACACCAAATTGAGAATGCTTATATTCAAGTCGCCGAGTGAGAACATCGGTTTTTCTTTGACGGGGGCTTGTTATGGCTGCTCTTGCAGCTCCGACGCAGCCTGACAGACGAAGCCAGCGGGGGGGGGGGGGGATAGACGACTCCCACGATAGCCGGCGTGCCGCCTCACCATGCTACGGAGAGCTAGTGTCTCTAGCAGGCTGGTCGCTGGCGCCTGGAGCACTTGACGGTGAATCTCTTGTTCTCGTTGAGTATGATCGCTCCTCCGCCGCCTCTGACTCGCTGGCCTTGAGTTGAAGAAGGCCGGTCTCGTCTTACCATGATATAGCCCGGAAACGCCATAAAACGTGATGGTATTTCGAGCGTCAGCCAGGCTGCAGAGACACAGAGCAGATCGAGGTACTCTGCTTCGGGGGATTGCTGACCAGATGAACTTTCCGGACGAGTGGCTACGCGCGATGTGGCCTATCGATGTAGCCAATTGATAATACGGTACCGAAAAAAACAGCGGTGGAAATCACTATTCCGCTTTTCCGTTCTGTCTCAGTAGGTGGCACTGATTGCCGAAGACTTCCCCACGTCCATTCTACAAATAAAAACGGTGCATTTGCAGACATGCCCTCCTCTTGGTCATGTGAAGCGTAGCCATGCATGGGAGCCGGTGTCAGGTAAACATGACGTCACGTGGCAGAGGCCAAAACAGCTGACTCAATTATGACTTGCTCATGGAAGCCCAAGGGCTGACCATTTGGCGAATCCAGGTCCATCATGACGCAACAGATGCCTCATCTGCACCTTCCTCCATGATGCAACCCACAACTTTTGCTCTTTCGAAATCGCACCGTGTATGCCTATGGCTTAGAAACAGCTTGCTCGCATGTCCTTATGACTTTGATCTTAAAGCCATTGGCTAACTGGTAAACCGGTGAAACTAAGTTTTTTTTTGGAAAGCATTCAGAAGATGTATATAAAACCGGTGCGCGTTGCTGCCCACTCCGTGAGGCTGACGACTGGCTTTCACCTTATTCGTTGCGCCGCGTACGAATGATCCTTGATCCTGAAGCGAACCGTCCGAGCCCCTGCGTGAACACAAGCAGCCCGGGAAGGTCAGCCCCTCCCCCTTCCATCGCGCCACCGGCAGCGATGGCTGAGACCTGCCGGCGGGTGCGGGGGGCGTCGCCCATGGTCGACCCCTCCGAAGTGGCGTGCTTCCGGCGGGCGGTGCCGGCGGAACCGCTATAAAGCGGGACGCCGCCGCCCGGTCTGCAGTGTGCCCTCCATCGTCGACCGCGCTCGTCCTCTTGCGCTCTCTCGCCGCCCGCGCCGCCGCATCCAGGATGATGTTCAAGGTACGCTGTCGGTCCTAGCACGCGCTGTTTGCTGGCTGTTCCAACGTATGAGGACGATATGCCGTTGCACGGTTTCGCCCAGCTTTGTACACATGGCAAGTGGTGATCATCTGGAATCCTTGCGATGGCGGTTCCGGAGAAGTGATCGAAGGGGGCATTCCAACTTTTTGTGGGCTGTCTATACACGCAAAAAGTGACTTCATGTTACAGTATTGAGAGCCTGAATAATGGAGAAAGGGAACATAATGGGGTACGTGCCGCATGTGTATCCACCTTCCGCTGTGTCTTCCCATGGCTTCTTGAGTATTTCTGTTTGGGATATCTTGGAAATCAGGGCATTGTTGGTTTTATGGTTAGCAGGGCCGGGCATTTAAACTTATTTGTAAAGTGGCCACGCATTTTGGTAGGATATCCGCTGTGTGGAGGAGCTGGTCTGCAGACGAAAATATCGGGATATGTAACGCAACACGCTTCAGAGACTGTCCAGCTGAAACATGCCAGACGTTTAGGTTTAGTGGTTGCGTTGCCTTTGACCGTCGCGTTACCGTGTTCCCTCGTTGCATGCATTCCTGAGGGTACAGAACTGAAAGCCTTCTTTCACGTCTACCAAGAGCTGCGCTGCTCCAAACAAGTTGGGCTTGACGTTGAGCACCCGGGCAGCATGGCTTTGTCTACACAGCCGTTGATTGACGGCCACCCGACGTTACAGATTGTGCTTCTGCTGGCCGTTTTGGCCGCAACCAACGCCTTCTTCCTGAAAGGATTTGGCGGCAGGAGCCACGGCCGCGGCCACGGCCACGGATACGGACACCACGGCTACGGCCACGGCCACGGCAACGGCTACGGCCATGGATATGGCCACAGCTACGGCTACTACCAGCCCGTCAGCTACGACTACGCTGACTATGACTACGGCTACAGCAGCTACGGCTACCATTGAGCCACGGAGTGTCCGGTGACGAAGCGCCCACCCTACTGTTTCATGCTGTGCTCTTCCACGCTGTGCTTGGGTCACAAAACAGCCGCAGCGATGGTGCATCTACGTCTACCCGTCCAATGTACGGTGCTCCACGCGGGAGTCGTCTCAGGTGCGCGTGCTCCCTGCATGTGTAGCTCTCCTCATGTGAAAAGCGTGGCTAGTGTCACAGATCGTGTTCGTGCAGCGCATCAGATACGTTTGTCATTGACGTGCAAATGCCTCAGTCATCATATTCTTCTTTGGATTCATTGTCATTTCCTCTGCTGTAACCGGTTGAGACTTGTGATGATGTACGCGTTTTATTTATGCCATGTGAATATATACTATGTTTCTACGATGATTTTCATTCAAACTGACGAACGTTATTCTTCCTGCCACGACCGCCTTTGGCAACATAAGAAGTTGCCGTACAACTGAAAGCAGATGTGTAGAGTGAGGCATAAAGAGCATATTCAGATAAACGAATGAAGCTTTCTACGTTTTTTTGGTGAGGTGCCTTTTTCTAAACGGAGGTGCCCTTATAAATCCAAGACATACTCAAGTTCTCGGCAAACAGGATGCACAGTCAGGACCTCCGATACGTCCAGGACGAACGGTTGCGTTTGTTCAGACACAATAGAGGTGCAGGAATATTCTGTGTCTAAGTTAAACCTGCAAAACCTTAAAATCTTCAAATCGTCCGGAACGAATTCGAGGTGGCTATGGCCACGGTCAATTCGGGGAGGCCGGCAATGGTCACGGGCTCAGTATGATCCAAAATCGATCCAAAGTCGGCCAGAGATGTATGGCGCCATTCAAGCATACGCGGACACCACTCGCGTTATCGTTGTATTGTGCCCATGGGCAAGAAAAAATATGGTCACGAAAGTCTTTGCATTTGCAACGATTCAACACCAGATGCCCACGGGATACAAAGCAATTTATTAACAGTTGGGCTGAAGCCATTTCATTTCAAAGCTGCTTGCAAATGTGGAGCAGTCCCTGAATTCAGTCACTCGAGGTAAGCGTGAGGGATTAAAATATTGGTAGTGAAATGATCCTGGGAGTGTTTGACTTCCTCGGCGATGCCATTCGCTTATGGGCATGGACCTGCCGTAGCCTGGGCTGTTTCTGGACCACATCTAGGCTGTTTTTTGAACCACATCCGGGATTATATCAGAGCCGTGGCCACATCCGGTCAATACTCATCTCGAAAGCATTCCGGACGCTTTGGAGATTTTAGGGCTTCGTAGGATCGGCTTAGGCACAGAATATTCCCTGCACCTTCACTGGGTCTAAATAAATGCCCACAACCGCTCATCCTTGGCTTATTGGGCGCTTTAAAAGTGGATTGTGTTTCCCGGTGACTTTATTCATGCCAAGCTTTCTGTGGGTGGTACGTTCCATAGTAAACTGAGTACGTCTTAGGGCGCTCGCATCCAGGAAAAGGAACCTCACCAAATAATCGTAGAAAACTGCATTTGATTATCTGAAATATGCTGTTTATGCCCAATCCTACACATCTCCTTTCAATTGTACGGTAACTTCTTATGTTGCCAAAGGCGGTCGTGGCAGGAAGAATAACATTCGTCAGTTTGAATGAAAATCATCGTAGAAACATAGTATGTATTCACATGGCATAAATAAAACGCGTACATCATCACAAGTCTCAACCGGTTACAGCAGAGGAAATGACAATGAATCCAAAGAAGAATATGATGACTGAGGCATTTGCACGTCAATGACAAATGTATCTAATGTGCTGCACGAACACGATCTGTGACACTAGCCACGCTTTTCACATGAGGAGAGCTACACATGCGGGGAGCACGCGCACCTGAGACGACTCCCGCGTGGAGCACCGTACAGTGGACGGGTAGACGTAGATGCACCATCGCTGTGGCTGTTTTGTGACCCAAGCACAGCGTGGAAGAGCACAGCATGAAACAGTAGGGTGGGCGCTTCGTCACCGGACACTCCGTGACTCAGTGGTAGCCGTAGCTGCTGTAGCCGTAGTCGTAGTCAGCGTAGTCGTAGCTGACGGGCTGGTAGTAGCCGTAGCTGTGGCCATATCCATGGCCGTAGCCGTTGCCGTGGCCGTGGCCGTAGCCGTGGTGTCCGTATCCGTGGCCGTGGCCGCGGCCGTGGCTCCTGCCGCCAAATCCTTTCAGGAAGAAGGCGTTGGTTGCGGCCAAAACGGCCAGCAGAAGCACAATCTGTAACGTCGGGTGGCCGTCAATCAACGGCAGTGTAGACGAAGCCATGCTGCCCGGGTGCTCAACGTCATGCCCAACTTGCTTGGGGCAATGCAGCTCTTGGTAGACGTGAAAGAAGGCTTTCAGTTCTGTACCCTCAGGAATACATGCAGCAGGGAAAACGGTAATGCGACGGTCAAAAGCAACGCAACCGCTAAACCTAAACGTCTGGCATGTTTCAGCTGGGCAGTCTCTGACGCGTGATGCGTTACATATCCCGTTATTTTCGTCTGTAGACCAGCTCCTCCACACAGCGCGTATCCTACCAAAATGCGCAGCCACTTTACAGATAAGCTCAATCGCCCAGCCCCGCCATCCATGAAAACGACAACAGCTCAACAGTAAATATGACCTCCAAGATATTCCAAACGGAAATACTCAAGAACCCGAGGGCAGAGACAGGCGGGGGAGGGGAGATTGCCGTGTGGCGTGTGACTCTTACACCATCACTCAAACTTTCCAAGCTGTAAAGTGAAGTTATTTTTTACGTATGCAGACCCTCTACAAAAAGTTGAAATGCCCCCTTCGATCGCTTCTCGGGAACCTCCACTGCAAGGATCCTAGATGATCACCACTTGCCACTTGTACAAAGCTGGACCGTGCGACGGCATATCGTCCTCATCCGTTGAACAGCCAGCAAACAGCGCGTGTTAGGACCGACAGCGTACCTTGAACATCATCCTGGCTGCGGCGGCGCGGGCGGCGAGAGAGCGCAAGAGGACGAGCGCGGTCGACGATGGAGGGCACACTGCAGACCGGGCGGCGGCGTCCCGCTTTATAGCGGTTCCGCCGGCACCGCCCGCCGGAAGCACGCCACTTCGGAGGGGTCGACCATGGGCGACGCCCCCCGCACCCGCCGGCAGGTCTCAGCCATCACTGCCGGTGGCGCGATGGGAGGGGGAGGAAGGAAGTTCATGGAAGGGGGAGGGGCTGACCTTCCTGGGCTGCTTGAGTTCACGCAGGGGCTCGGACGGTTCGCTTCAGGATCAAGGATCATCCGTACGCGGCGCAATGAATCAAGGTGAATGCAAGTCGTCAGTCTCACGGAGTGGGCAGCAGCATGTACCGGTTTTATACATATCTTCTGAACGCATTCCAAATAAATGACTTAGTTTCATCGGTTTACCAGTTAGCCATTGGCTTTAAGATCAAAGGCATAAGGACATACAAGCAAGCTGTTTCTAAGCCATAGGCATACACGGTGCGATTTCGAAAGAGCAAAAGTTGTGGGTTGCATCATGGAGGAAGATGCAGATGAGGCATTTGTTGCGTCATGATGGACCTGGATTTGCCAAATGAGCCCTTTGCCTTCCATGAACAGATTATAAATGAGCCAGCTGTTTTGGCCTCACCCACGTGACGTCATGCTTACCTGACACCGGCTCCCATGCGTGGCTACGTTTCACATGGCCAAGAGGAGGGCCTGTCTGCAGATGCACCGTTTTTATTTGTAACATTCCTGTGGGAGGTCTTCGGCAATTGGCGCTACGCAATTTGGAACAGCATGTAACAAGTGGAATAGTCGTTTCCACCGTCGGTTTTGCCGTTAGCATTGTTATCTATGTGACGCTTACGCCAGCTATCCGCCTCTCCGGCATTCGGCAGGTGTTGTAAGGCCAGGAGCATGAACGTCTGGTGAAGTGTGACTGCTGGTCACAGCCTTGAAAACTGTTGAGATTTGCATGCAATTACTCTTTTTGAGCCAAAACGGTAGAAAACAGATGCACGCTGGTTGATCCGGTTAAAGCCGTCGGTTTTCGACCCAATCCGAATTCCTTAATTTCGACAAAGGCATGTTCAACCTGAGTTCAACCGGCTCAAAATAAGCTGCAGTATTGAAGAGCCAGGATTCCGAACGTCAGGAAGCCGTAAAACGCAAAATTGGCAATTTTTTTCTGTCCAGATGCATTGATTGTCGCGGCCCTTACCCTAGTTACCTAGATGCATGATTCATCTCGGCTTCAGCACGACCCGAAAATCATGCAGCTAATGTGAATTAAGCGCAACTGCTCATCAGCTTTCTGCGCATCCGACTCTGTTTTATGCCCTTCAGTATTGTATGAACGACTTTTTTGTGCTCCTGTGTTCCGCTGTTCATTTGCTATGTTATTGTTACCATTCGCTTGCCGTATAATATTGCCATCGTTTGCACATTGATTCCTTTCACCTGCGTAACTGAAAGTGGACCATTTTGTTCATACCAACAGAGTATCTTACGCTCATGCCGTCCACACAACTAGTTTGTTTTGCCGATGGTCATTCTGATAGCAGTTAGAATGATGCTGTTTTAACATTTTCATTCCAAACTTAGTTTTGCGCCATTCCAAAATTTTTAGTTCTATGCTGCTCTCAGGGTATTTGTATGACGTCACATGCCAGCTGTCCCCTGTCTTCAGATTTGTGATCGTCGCTCTGTGGCCAGTGATACCGGACCAGCGTTAGCGATATCATCCAAGATGCAAGCTGCTCATGACGTCACAATATGAGCGAGATGCCTCTAAATGGGTCAGGTGCTGTCATTACCCTCTCACCGGTGCGGGACTTGGCCAAGCCAAGCTATTCAGGGCGCAGCGGCTGCAACATTACACAACCATTCTGCGAAGATAGCCTTATGCGCCAGCCTTCACGCGTGATGGAGTGGTATGGGTTCCTGCAAGAGCTATTATAAGACTGCTCCAGTTTCAGTGTGCGTGTCCTGCTGTGCTTCTTTAATGAGACACTTCTCAATGCAACAGTTTGCTGCAAGGAACCGAAATATTACGCCACATGAGTTAAGCATATTTGGTTTACCGCTGAAACCAGTCGTCGTTCAACCACCCCAGGAAATTATAGACGCAACCGTCCCCGTTGCTGCAGCTGCAGGAGAAATGAGGCGGTAGTTTCGCCATTCATCTAAACTGCCCAGTCGTAAACGTACGTACGTGTCTATGGACAGTTTATCACATCCGGGGAACGGCGGTGTCATGTGGCAACCGTATACCACGGCGGTCCACAATCGCTTAATGTCACCTATGAGTCGACCTCAAAGCCCATGATTCCCCAGCGGTCGTCCAGTACAGAGCCTTCTTGTGTCAAACATACTGAAAGCACATGTTAAGAGGCCAGGTGGCCATTTTCTGAAAGTCTGCTGAGCCTGGTGAGTAATTTCTCCCCCTTGATGATACCTTTGCTCTCCTTTCGTAACGCATGAAGGAACAAGGCATGCGAGTAGATCTCAACAACGAATACGCAGAATCTGGGACACATATCTCGTCACTGAAAGACCCTGTGGATCTTGGACTGACCTCTCCGGTCCAGGTACATGCCTGGTAGACATTCGAGGATCCTCGAGTGTCTACCAGGCATGTACAGTACGGCTCTCGCCGGATAAACGTATGCAGCACGCTTTACCTGGCGAGCATGTTATTGAAATGCTCGGTGGTTGGGTTGTCAGCATGAGATACATTTTGTGTAGCCGCCTGAGGCCTGGTCCCATGTAATCCGCAGATTACAGAAAACCAAGCCCAACTAGTCAGACTTTTCAAAAATGTGACTTATATGTGTAAAAGCGCAACGTGATCTGCCTTCCCTTTAAGCACCGCTTCCTACCAGAAGTTTTTACTTACATCGTAATAGTTCTACAAAGTTTTGGCCTTTGGTCCACGCAGGCCTGCAGGGAGGGAAGGGGCGAATGCACCTCAGTGGTACTTTCTAAATGGCAGCTTTTTAGACCCGCAAAGTTTCTACTCCGAGCAATGCGCATCAATTTGACCCGCTGAGATCTCGGGAACCAAGAAAGCTAGAGACATCAAATTTACAAAGTGTGTTGACCTGTACGTGAACTCACTTAGGTCAAGGTTTAAGGTTCATAGGTTATGACCCTCGGGTCAAAAAAGGTCAACCAAGGTCAAGTTCCAGGTTGGTTTCCAAAGTACCCCAGAACCTAGATAGCCGTTTCTAAGTAAAGGGTCACATTCTCATTCAAGGTCAGTGACTTTGTTTGACCTTTTAAAGGTCAAGATGACAAAAATCATACAAGACTGCTCTGAGTTTCGCATTCGACTAAGCGACAAAGATTACGCCAGGCAGTATGCTCCTAAAACAAAATGTTGACCTGGGTCATTTTAGGTCAATGACCCATTCTGACTTCTTAAAAGTGCATGGAAGATATAAAATGCGGTTCCTGCCATCAATTAACTCGAAATGAGCACCAGAAGCTATCCCATACAGCAAGCCCTAGAGTAACGGAACAGGTTGACTTTGACCTTGGTGTTACCTTCATACCTGACCCTAGGTCAATGCAATTTGTTCATTCAACTGTTGTGTTGCCTAAGAAAGCATCTAAGAAATGTATGGCTTCGTCTAACACTCCGTTGTTGGATCGGGTTGAAGGATTCCTTAGAAATTGCCTTCGCTGAAACCATGGCCTGACTTTGACCTGCCATAGGTCAGCGACCTTACAGGGTACATATAAATTGTTGACGCCAAACGATTTGCTATTCGATCGTCTACAGCTGGGAAAAATTTGGCGCGGCTACACCGCGCTGTTCGGAAACCATTCTGGAAAAACTTTCGGGAATGTCAATTTGACCCCTCCACCCGAGCGCGTGTCAAACACTGCTTTGATTTAAATGATTCTAGCTCGTGAGAGCTTGCCTTAAATGGGCGATTTGGATAACAAAGCGGCGAGTTAAATTAAACCACCTTTCGAAAATTCCATCGATGAATGTGTCAATGCCGTAGTTACGAGAGTCAACAATAACCAAGGGTATCTGATTTGAATGACAATGGCACTAATCCACTTTCGCAGCCTGGCCCGCCGGCTACACCTTTTAATAGGCTTTCGTCGCTTGGCCAACCGTCGCAAGTTCATAGATTCTCCATCAATGCTACTTTCGGCTAATAACTATATTTTACGTTTCATCTTCTTTTTTACCAAGAAGCGCAAGACATATGGCGAATACTCAGTATACCACGAATTGAAACCAGAAAAAGGTTGTGTCACAGTGAAACTGTACTGGCACAATTTGCCTTGGAAAAGAATGGCAAATGGTTTAACATGCACCCGGGTGGCCGGTTGAATACCCATCGTTCGGGTGGGCGTCAATTTGACCCCACTGAGATCTCAGGAACTAAGAGAGCTAGAAGCAGCAAATTTATAGGGTGCATTGACCTGCACGTCACCTTACTTAGGCCAAAGTTTAAGGTTCCTAGGTCATGACATTTGGGTCAAATAACATCAAGCAAAATCAATTTGCAGGTTGATCTCCAAAGTCCCGCCAGAGCCTAGATACTTGTTCTAAGCAAAGAGTCAAACGCTCATTTAAGGTCAGTGACCTTGTTTGATCTTTTGAAGGTCACGATGACCAAAATCAGTCAAAGTTACTCTAAGTTTTGCATTTGAATAGGCGACAAATATTACGCTAGGCGGCATGTTCCTGAAAATAAAATGTTGACCTGGACCATTTTAGGTCAGTGACCTATTGTGACCCTAAAGAAGTGCATGGAAGATGTATAATGCGGTTCCTGTTCTTGGTTTAATTTTAAGTGAGCACCAGAAGCTATCCTATACAAGCCCCAGAGTAACAAAGCAGATTGGTTTTGACCTTAGTATGACCTTCTCAGAGATGTAATGCTTTGTCTATCACTAGGTTCTCGCATCAGATTAAACGATTCCCTAGAAATTGACTTCGCTAAATCCATGGTCTGACTATGACCTGCCATAGGTCAGCAATTTTTTCTAGATCAAGATGTAGATTTTCAAG